GAGGAGAGAGAGTCATACCACAGCCAGCTGGCGCTCTTCCGTGGCCGCTTGTCGCAAGAATCATTTTGGAAGAACGCTTGGAAGCCTGTGCCACTCATCGCATTCCCCGCAGTGCTCTTCAGCACTATCGTGTATGGATCGTACTTTGTGAGTAGTTCATCAGGTTTCTGCGAGACATGTGCTGACTGTTCTTTTTCCTTCTAGACATGGCTGCTCACCATTTCCGTCCTCTCCGTCAACATCTTCTCCGCGCCACCGTACTCGCTGAACCCAGCACAAGTCGGTCTTACCAACCTACCTCTCCTCGTTGTCGCACTTATCGGCTCGCCCCTGTCCGGCTGGACAGCCGATGCTCTTGCGAAGTTCATGGCCCGCCGCAACAAGGGTGTCTTCGAGCCTGAATTCCGCCTGACTCTCATGGTACCTGCCGTCATCTTCGCCACGATCGGTTTTCTCGGCTTTGGTATGAGTACTTCTGCTGGCTACCCCATCGTTTGGCCCTTGGTATTCATGTCGATTCACTCGCTCTCCGTGCCGTTCGCGTCGACAGCCAGTCTTACCTACGTCATTGACTGCCACCCCAAAGATGCAAACCAGGCTTTCGTCACCATCAACTTCACAAAGGCGGTGTTCACCTTTATCGCGACAACCTATGCGAACGGCATCATGGCCAACATCGGACCACGCGCGGTGTTTGACGGGATCACGGTCATCAACTTGGGAATCTGTGCGCTTACCATTCCGGCGTATGTGTTTGGCAAGAGGTTCAGGAGTTTGGTGGCGCGGAGCTCATTTGGTAAGAAGATCTCTGGATGAGAGCTTGGGCCGTGCGTCTTCTATTGTAACGATAAGGCATGAGCTCAAAGGGATGGTGATGACATATGTAGTTTCATGAATACACACAGTCGTTATAGATCTGAATTATCACAAATCCATCCTATCCATGATAAAACACAGAAAGCTTTGTGCCACGTGAGTGAGCTGGTCCGCGCTGGCTTGATTGCAGGAGCAGGTTCAGATTGTAGGAGTTAACACTATGACTTTGAACCCGTACTCAATTTCGTGATGAACTGAAGGCAAAATGTTGGCGAAAACCCGAGAGAAGGTATGATGCAGTAAGTAAACTTTTGTATTTGAAGAGAATTCTTTGGTATCATGAATCTAGACATAATGTAACCACACCCGTACGCCGTTGACAACTTCTGTAGTGCCCTGTGCCAAACATCCCACGATCTCTTCGTGAGTGAGCACATGCGTCCCGCGCTTGGTGCAAGTCGTTGCATGATAATTTTGGTCTTGCGATACATCCAAGCGGTTCTCTGCGCTCTGCGTCGTCTCTACTGACGGCGCGTTATAGTGGCACAGGTCTTCGCGTCTCGGCGTTCATGTCGCATCAAGGTCCGTCTGCTAGACAAAAGCAAGTGACCTGCTGTCGACTGTGACGTCCTTGGAGTCACATGTCGGGCGAGCGTTATTCGCTGAAAATGAATAGTAAAGCGACGCATCATCAGTTCGTCACTCGTCTCGCACCGCCATCCATCTCCCTAGCCCCTGGTCTTTGCGACAGCATCTGTGCCATGGACTGCGACGCATTTGAGGCTGACGAAGTTGCGTATCTGGGGCTTAGTGGTGATGTCAGACTGGCTCGTCGTGATGTCGAGATGTTGATGGATGATGGAGATGATGAGGTTGCGTTCTTGAGGAAGACACGCGCAGGTGGGAATTGGCTGACTGGCGGCATTGTGATTGTGTATGTGAGCTGTATTGTTGGTCTGATGTGGTATGCTCGAGGATGAAACGTGATGATCGTTCGGTGGCAGTAAGAGCAGGGCTTGTTGTTTGATGTCGTCGATACGATGGCACGATGTGTAGTAACCGGATGTTGGATGTCTCTTCTCAGCTGATGGAATGTCTGTTATAAGCAAAAAGCGTAGCAAGAGCAGCAACCACTCATCTTATATCCATCCACGAATCCAAATTGACTCACCCAACTAGACCCACACTAACTCTCTACCCTCGGAGTCACAAGCAACTCGCCCATCCACGCAAGCCTCTAGCGCGCGTGCCCCCCAAACCCGCCCGTGCCGTGACATGTGAAGCCCTTCCCGTTTCGAGCCATGATCACCCCACGGCATCGTGAGCATCACGTCTTGCACATGCGGATCCGGACCCAATCGGCGGATAATTCTCGTTCCAAAGGAGACGACTACGATCAACGCAGACTAAACGACATGCACGCGATCGTGGGTTGCGTCCAACTCATCTAGCTCCCGTTACCCCGGGTGGGTTTTCCGTGTGCGACTACGGTGCTTTGAGCAATTTGTCTTTTCCCCCGGTTTGCGCGAGCCGACCCTCCACCTCCACCCCCCAAACGCCCGGAAAAGCAAAAAAGGGCCGAGAGGCGCATCGCATTGCGCATTGTACTTGCAGCTTACACACCTACACAATTCGAGAAGCAGCCAAGGTGCCGAGGCGTGTGATGGTAGTTGGTGCGTGTTTGAACTTTGTATGGTGCTCGTGTGTGTGCTTGTTTGGAGATGGGAGGCTGCGACACGTCATGCACGGAGCCTAAAGTGCGGGGTGGGCCTCCGCGAACACTGGCTAGGGCGAAGCAACGGCGTCTGGTTTGACGGCCACAGAGCTTCTAGCATGCTTCCACCGAATGTTTGGACAAGTTTTAGCCTGAGATGAAAGATACGACGCGAGGTAGATCACCGACGTCGGAGGATCTCCCGTGAGTCTGGATACGAGAGATGTTGTTTTGAGCGGAGTAAGTTTAGATGGCATGTACGACACTGGCATGGAGATCGCGATGCGGGGCAGCTGATGGATCACAGGTAACCTCAGCGAACGGTGTAATACATGCTCTGCTCTACAACGTTTCTTTTGCGGCTTGCACTAGCGCGAATATATATGCGTTGTGCACATGTATACTGCGGGTGTAACTGCAAAGCAATGCATGCGAGAAGCCAGACTCCGCGGATATTGAGAAATCAGCCCGACATGTGAGCCCAGTCTCGTCATTGTTGCGGTGTAACGGTGTTCCAAGGCTGCATCCACGACAGCACGTTCAGGCGGATGTCTGGCACGTCGTAGTCAGAGAAATGACATTTCTTTTCATATCGTACAAGGTCGGCCAACTTTTAGACGTCGCGATATAGTACATCCAACTCATTATCCAAGCCTTCTGCATCCGCAGCATTAACGTATCTTGCAGCGCACAACTGCGCCCAGGTATCCGAACATGCAAGCATATCCACACGGCACGCATGCTGACATGCCGTTCGTATTATCCAATTGTCCCAAAGAATCCAAAGTTGAGTTCAGGGGATCTAAGCTCGGCCGCTGCGGACGCGCTTGGCTTCGGGGCGCTGAAGGTGCGAGGCTGGGATCCAGCTCTCATCGTAGGCCTTTGCGCCGGAAGTGACAGCAGGACCATCAGCACCAACGACGGCAACCTGATCGGCGGGGTCGACCTTCTTGCTCTGGCCCGAAGACGCCTTAGCACGCTCACCACCCTTGCCGCGGCCCTTCTTCTGCGGGAAGAAGGTGGAGATCCAGGTGTTGTAGATGAAGTACACGGTTCCACCGAAGGCGCCAAGGAGGACGAGGTACAGGAAGATGCTAGAGAGAAGTAAGTACATGTGTCCAGGCTGAGTGGTGGATTGCTACGTACATCTGGGGGTCGAAGAAGCTAGTGGGCGCCTCAACAATGCTGACAGTTTCGTTGTAGACCGGGACAGTGATGAGGTTGTTCTTGCTGTCCTTCAGCACAGTCACGAGCTGGAGGCGGAGATTCTGGGGGTGCATCTCCGTCGTGAAGCTGTAGGGAATCGTCTCGTTGGCGCCAGCGGGGATCTGGATGGAGTAGCGCTGGCGAGTGAGGTTGCGAAGGATCTGAGATTCTCCCTTGATCTCCTGGATCAACGAGCCACCGACAATGGTGACACCGACGGGGGTTGGCTCATTGTTGACCACAGACAGACGCGCCTGGGTGGCCTGGCCGTTGACGAGCTTGACGCCGAAGATCTCAGACTGGGGGAAAGAGACGGAAACGGCGACGTTGAGGTTGGGCGTTTGCGGCTCGTCTACTGCTTGTTGCACCTTCTCAGCCTGGAGACGCGACCATTAGCCATCTGATGTCATGCTGCGTCAGAAAGTTTGGAGCTTACCGCGGGCTCAGCATAGGTGCCGAGAGCTCGGAGAGAGAGCAGGAGCAGAGATGAAAACTTCCAATTGACCATGATGAAGACGACACGAGACGGGGAGAGGGATGAGAGGAGGAGGGACGGCGTGTGGGAACAGATGGGGTAATTCGAACGTGGCTTCTGGGAAGTGACGTCCGGGCGCAGCTGCCTCTTGGCGTCGGAGGACGGAACTAGAGCCGCGGCAATGCTCGGCGACACCGTCTCTCCACCTCCTTCCCTACAACGAAGATGGTGAACAGGTGCACTGCAGCCTACATCATTATGAACACGACATGTCGCAAAACCTGAGCGCAATGTAGACTTCTAGGTCATGTTATTCCTATCATCCTTGCGTCAAGATGAGCTATCGCCTGACACTCTCTGTGGCTGGCCCCTTCCAAGTATAGACTGTTCCCTGGTACGCGCCATATCGCGTTGTACATGGCATCCACGCCGCAAATGTCGCTCCTTCTATTTCAAACCCAGCGGCACCCATGGTTCTGCAGTTTGCTATAATTGCATATACACCGCCTTGGAGTGGCTGCCCGCCGGCGTTGCGCATGGCTGCATACCGTTAAAAGCCAGACTGGCTGTCTTCACTGCCCAGTGATGTTTTATGTCACCGCAATAACTCACCTTCACTTGCGGTTTCCTATTCGGGCTTGAAAAATCTATACTAACCGCAGAAAGAGCGCTCGACCCTCCTGAACCTGCTTTCTCTCCGCCTTCTCTCATACACGTAAATCGCAGTCATTCGATTATCTATCATTCAGTCACACACCCTGTTCGCCGATCGCCTGCGCCCTTTGCGATATGTCGCCTTCGCTCAGCGGCCTTGGCCTGGCTTCACCGGGCCCCTCCGACGCCGATTTAGCAGACTTTACCAGACGCTTCGAGCAATTCCAGCTGTACGAGGATGAAAAGGCCAAGTTCATGACCGTAAGTGCACTGTAACTGTCACTATCACGCAGTCGTGACTGATGCGCAACAGGAGATGAAAAATCGGTATGAATATATGCACCAACAGGTAAGCTCTGACTGTGCGAAAGACGTGTGGGGCATGTACTGATTTCGTATGCTACAGTACCAGATATTGGCCACCGAACGCGACCGCGATCGCAACTGGATCCTCGCATGGCAAAATGAGAAGCAGCAATACGAGAGGTCGCACCGGAACCTGCAGCGGAATATGGTAATCCCATCCAGCCACACATCGCTTTGGAGCTGACTTGGACGTGACAGGCTGAGAATCCATTTGTTATGGTACTGATTGACGGCGACGGCATGATTGTGAGCTTCACGTACTACGAGTTGAGTGCAGTCTGCTGACTACATACAAGTTTAGTGACGACTTCCTCCGCGAGGGAGAGCAAGGTGGCCGCCGGGCTGCTGTCCAATTGTTCGCCGATATCCACGAGTATATCGAGAATGAGTGCCAAGATATCCCATTTGGTTACCGCATCGCCTGCCGCATCTATGCGAACGTTCGGGGGCTGGGCGACGTGCTCGTACGCAGGGGGATTTATGAAGACATCATCGAGTTCGAGGACTTCGTGCGTGGTTTCACGCGGGGAAAGACATTGTTCGACTTTATCGACGTCGGTGCGGGAAAAGATCGCGCTGACGAGAAGATCATCGGTGAGTACCACTGTCCTACTACATCTCCAGCCCCATGTATTCCGCAAAACCCACTATCCTAAGCTATTTCCGAGTCTAGACGTCCATGTAGGCTTCTGACCGTACTGACAATCTTAGAATTATTCAAATTATACTCCCAAGATTATCATTGCCGTCGGATCTTCTTCGGGTGCTCACACGATAATGGCTACGCGCGAACGCTTGAGCAGTGCTCTGATCGCCTTCAGGTGACAAACAAGGTGGTTCTCCTTGAGGGTGTTCCATTTGAGAAGGTACGTGACTGACTCGCGCGAGCCATGAATCCACGAACACTCGTACAGCCCGGACGCTAACCTCACCTCTCTGTAGGAACTCGTCGGCCTGCCGTACCAAACGAAGAAGTTTCCAGGTCTCTTCAGGGAGACCAAGCTCGTGGTTTGGGGATCTGGACCTACATACGCCGCCAGTACATACGCCAACGGCCTTCCACCAGCATTTGTTCCGGGCAGGATCGACTCGAACGATAGTTCTAAGGCGTCTGTAGCTTCGACCGGTCTCCCAAGCCGGTTCCCAGCCCCATCGAAGTCTCCCATCATGGATAGTCCTTTGCCAAACCGAGCGACAATGATGGCTTTGCCTAGAACGCCTTCAACATCAACACTGGCTTCGGACAGTACGTTCCCGGCACTCAAGCCAGATCCACCAGCGCCGTTGCTGAACTGGGCCGCTAAGGCCGCTGCTCCGCCGCCACCCGTTACAGAGACCCCAGTGTACAAGCCCGCGAACCGCGAAGAAGTCATCGCACGTAACCGCGCCGGCCAACGCGTCGATCCGCCGTGTAAGGACTACGATAAAGCTGAGGTGGACCGCATGAAGAAGATCAAATTGTGCAACGTTCATTTCCTTCGAGCCGAATGCCCCTACGACACCAAATGCACCCATCTCCACGCGTACAAACCTACCAGCGACGAGTTGGCTACCCTCCGTCTTGTTGCCCGCATGGCACCTTGCAGCAACGGCAGTGTTTGTCAGGATATTAGGTGTATCTATGGCCACCGCTGCCCAGCACCGCCCAACAAGATTCACTACGCCAAGGGCACGAAGAGCTGTATTTTCGGCGAGTCTTGCAAGTTCCCAGCGAGCTTGCATGATATCGACACTAATGTCGTCAAGACCCTGGTCGTTCGCTAGATGGGGGAGTACGGAGGTCTGTATGACAAAGTCGCCGATGGGAGATGGCTTGGTAGAATCTCAGACATTAGCAACTTTTAATGTATCCTGAATCAAGTTGCCACTCATGAACACCCCGCAGTCTACATTGGTGTCAGCAACGGAAGTTCGCAAACTCTTGATGCAATGTAGGCTTCAGGGTCAAAATATTTTGAATTCGGGCATGGTGTTCAGGGCCAACATTGCCATATTCATTGCCTCTTCCACTCGTCAAACTCTTCATTGAGATGTTGTTTCAATGCCGCAAACTTATTCTTAAAGTTTTTCCCACATCGCCAGCATTTCATATCCCAGCTAGGCCAATCCCCAGGATGAAACCTCTTACTATCTTCTTCCAGGGGGAACTCTTCTAATTGGACAAGAAAACTACTGTTGAAGCTCAAATAGTGCTTCTTGTGTTTCATCCAGTCTGAATGCATGTCCCGGCTGAAGATATGGATGTGTAGATGGTTCATCGAGGGGTGGGTATGTACGCCTACTACGATATCTTTAGACCAGTCGCGGCCGGGTGGGAGCAGTGCTGTGCGCTCCTCGGGTGGAGGTGGCGGGTCAGGAGAGCTCATCATTGTCTCGAAAGCCTCATTGTATGGTTTATCTGAAGCGCTGAAGTCGCCATATTGACGTCGGAGTTCGTATGCGGCGAGCTCTCTGAGACGGACGGCGCGTTTTCGTACTTCGGCGAGGAAGGCTGGGTCTGTGGAGAGAGCTTGGAGTGGGTGTTGATCGTAGTGGACCTGTTTCCGCGGGATGAGTAGAAGATGTACACTTGTTGGTCGTCAGCGCGCTAGTTCTCCTCAGCTATCCAATACCATGGGCACATACCTCGCCTTGGGGTACTTGTCGGTTATCACGACAAAGTCATCGTCGTACTCCAGTATCTTGTTCTCTGGGTTCGTCTCCGGGCTCTCGATATAGACGCCCAGCCCATTCCGTCCGTCCCAGCGCCTAGCTGTCTTGGCAGCCTTCTGTGTCGTACTTGGACCGTCTGCGGCGGAAACGATGGGTGATTTTGGTTTCTTCGACTGCGTCATGAGTTCTGTGACTGCACCGTGAGTTAAGGTTGCGCGTTGAGATTGTTGAAGGCATGCGATGAGACGTACATGCATTGGGGCGCTTCGAAGAGGCAGGGTCGATTGCGGGCTGAGCTTGATTTGCCGTCTCCCTGCCTGCTATCTCTTTGTCCGTAATGGCATCGTGGGTATCCGTCATGTTTGGGCGGCCCGTCATTGTCGATTTGTTGTCGCGTTTGGGTTTGCGAAAAGATCTCGTATGCTTGTTCGAGGTTTGTATGATAGGGGCTCGAAATAATCGGGTTGCTATCCAGCTTGGGGCCAGTGGGCGCATCGATACTCGTGAATGCTTCGTGAGGGTTTCGTGAAGCAACGATGACGATGAGGCTCGGAGTGGGTCCAAGCGTACCGAGGCATCCCTGCAATCATCGGAATTTCGGATTGCGCATCGCGTTCGAGTGAAAGCGCCAGGAACTCGCGATGGCTGCCATCATAGGTGCTTCTTTCCTCTTTGGACTCGCTGAAGGGTGGTGCAATATTGATCCCGGTGGTTGAGCCCTTTCATTAGCGACTGCGCCCTTCTCACCGCCCACGAACAAATCACATTATCATACCTCCACTCTTTCTTCCTGAGTATACTTCTATGGAGTCCAGGACGTACAACTACACTATACATATCGCATACGATGCCCAAGAACGCTCACCCACCCCGCGGCAAGCTCGCTAAGAAGACTGTGCCCCCTGAGGAGGATACATCATTCATTGTTTTCGGTGACGCCAAACCCAAGAAGAAGAAGGGCGAGAGTTCTGGTGGAGACGCTGCCCAGAGCGAGAGTAAGGGCAAAGGAAAGCCCGCAGCTGAGGATGGCCCCAAGAAGCCGGATACAAGGACGCTCATCGCTGGCGCATCATGGACAGGAAAGCTCCCGGTCAACCTCCTGGCGGAACACTTCCAGAAACAGCAGTGGAGCAAGCCTGACTATCGCATCGTAAGTAGCCGCGCCGTAGTAACAGGTCATTGCTAATTACAGCAGCGGAAAGATGGCGACCAGCATTTTGCCTACGCTGTGGTACTCTCCAAGATGAACCAGAAGACACGGCAGACCACCACCCTACCTCCCATCAAGATCCCGTCGGAGCTCGAAGAGCAAGCCCATCAGCCTACTGCCGTCGAAGCGCGCAACTTTGCCGCCGCCTATACTCTCTTCCGAGTCGCCAGCGGGAAGAACCTCCACACCATGCTTCCGCCCACGTATAAAGACCTTTGGAAGGGACAATTCATGGACCTCAAGAAGAGGGATGAACAAGAGGGCAAAGGATGGATGTATGAGGCAGACCCCTTCTTCGGTTTTGCTGAAAGGGAGAAGGCGAGAGAGGCAGCAGCAAAGGCGCGTGAGAAGAGACAGAAGCAGCAGGAAGAGGCGCAGAAAGCCCACAACCAACAGCCAGGTGCCGCCATGCCAAGTTCTAACGGTCTAGCTTCTAGCCGGAACTTGCTCAAGGGTTGGGAGAGAGTGCCCAAGATCGAGCTCGGGAAGAGAACACGCAAAGAAGCAGAGCGTCTCATCCGCCGGGACGCACTCTGGAACCCGAACGGCATCGAAATGAATCCGTCTACAAAGAATCGACTAGTCGAGGAGATCGCGAACCTTGGCTTTCGGAGAAGCCACGTCGAGGAGGCCGCCGATTTTTGCAAAGATCGCGAGGAGATTATTGAATGGCTTCTCATTCATGTACCTGAAGACGACCTACCATCGTGGTCGTTACCAGAAGGCTACGTTGCTGGCGTCAGTATGGCTAGCTCTAACCTCAAGCGTGAGGGTGCCGTGAAGCGCCTTGCTGCAGCCGGATACTCTATGGACCTTTGCGAAGAAGCATACGATAGTCAAGGCAGCGATGAGAGAAAGGCCGCGGCGTTGCTACAAGCTCGTCTACTCCGACCAGATGAGGAAGAGAGTAGCCTAGTACAAGATCTGAAAGATCTCTCGCTGAGCAATGGTGAGCCTGAGACGTCTCCGGAGGACGATCCGTGGGAAGTGGAGATGTCGTCACTTGAGGCAATATACGACGGTCTGTTTTCGCGCCCTGCGCCCGAGTCTTGTCGCATCGAGCTAGACGTTAAGCAACAAGGAAAGCGGCTCATACTACAGGTTAGGAAGCCTTTCGGTCCTTACCCCGCGGTCGTGCCTATCATCACGTTCGAGGCGGCTATCCCAGCATATATTCGTTTGAGCATCATTCGCCGAGCGCTTCTTCACGCTGAAGCCAACTTTATTGGCATGCCTATGGTATACGATATTGTAGACTGGATCCAAACGAACGCTGGTGATATCTTCCAGAACCCAGGAAGATTGACCGATGTTTCATCTGGCCTTGCAGCAGCAGATCACTCGTCGGAACAGCAAAGTCAAAAACGAAGAGCAAAGGGACGACCCAGAAGGCCTATCGACTGGACACCCGCCACGCCTACTAGCCAAAGAATATTGTCGGATTGGCAAGCTAAGCAGGGATCTCCAGCTCAGCAAAAAATGATGAACGCTCGGCAGTCACTACCTGCGTGGAGGTTGAGGGATGAAATCGTCCACACCGTCAACGACTGTAAGGTCACGATCATCTCAGGTGAGACTGGATCGGGAAAATCGACTCAATCGGTGCAGTTCGTCCTCGATGATCTGATACAGCGACAGCTTGGTGCTGTTGCGAATATTATCTGTACCCAGCCACGCAGGATTTCTGCGCTTGGTCTTGCTGATCGTGTGGCCGATGAGCGATGCTCTCAGGTCGGCGACGAGATTGGGTACACTATTCGCGGAGAATCTAAACAGAAGCCAGGAGTTACTAAGATCACGTTTGTAACGACTGGTGTACTTTTAAGACGTCTTCAAACGTCGGGTGGCAACGCGGACGATGTCGTTGCCGCCCTGGCTGATGTCAGTCACGTTGTCGTCGACGAGGTTCACGAGCGTAGTTTGGACACAGACTTTTTACTCGTCCTTTTGCGCCAGATTTTACGAAAGCGACAAGATCTCAAGGTCATCTTGATGAGTGCTACTCTCGATGCTGCCGTTTTCGAAGCATACTTCAAAGAGGTTGGACCTGTAGGCCGTGTCGAGATTGAGGGCCGCACTCATCCCGTGACGGACTACTATGTCGACGATGTCGTACATTTCACCGGGTTCAAGGGATATGGCATGGGCGACGAAGATGCCTCCGAAGACAAGTCGTTTTCGGCAAACCTTCGCAGTATCGGATTTGGCATCAACTACGACCTCATTGCGGAGACTGTTCGTCACATTGACCGCCAGCTAGGTACCAAGGATGGCGGTATTCTTATCTTCCTCCCTGGTACCATGGAGATTGACCGCACGCTCCAAGCGCTCAGCCAGTTCGCAAACCTCCACGCATTGCCTCTACATGCATCACTCATGCCAGTCGAGCAAAAGCGTGTGTTCCCTCCTGCTCCTCATGGCAAGCGTAAGGTCATCGCGTGTACCAACGTCGCAGAAACGTCGATCACTATCGAGGACATCGTCGCTGTCATCGACACGGGTAGGGTCAAGGAGACAAGCTACGACCCGCAAAACAATATGGTTCGGCTGGCCGAGACCTGGGCTTCGAGGGCGGCATGTAAACAGCGACGAGGTCGCGCAGGGCGTGTTCGCGCAGGCGACTGCTACAAGCTGTACACACGCAACGCTGAAGCCAAGATGATGGAACGACCGGATCCGGAGATTCGCCGTGTGCCACTTGAGCAGATGTGTCTGTCCATCAAGGCAATGGGGGTGCAGGACGTTACAGGCTTCCTTGCTTCAGCGCTCACACCGCCAGAGAGTACAGCGGTAGAGGGTGCTATCCAATTGCTCTCGCAGATGGGTGCCATCACAGACGACGAACTCACTGCACTTGGCCGACACATGTCTATGATCCCAGCAGATCTCCGACTGGGCAAGCTTCTCGTATATGGCGCGACGTTTGGCTGCCTTGAAGCTGTGTTGACGATCGCGTCTGTTCTCACTGCTCGCAGCCCTTTCATATCACCACGAGAGCGAGATCAGGAGACTCGGAATGAATTCGACCGTCTCCGCGCTTCCTTCTCCAACAATCAGGGAGATCTGCTTGTAGACCTGCGAGCGTACGAACAGTGGTCTGCATTGCGCAGCAAAGGCACATCAACACGAGACCTCCGTTTCTGGTGTCAAGACAACCGACTGAACCCCCAAACCATGTTCGACATAGCATCTAATCGCACCCAGTACTTGTCGTCTCTCAAGGAGATTTCATTCATTCCGACACACTACTCCTCCGCCAATTCTTCCACACACTCGTACTACAACAAACACAACGCGAATGACGCGCTCTTACGCGCTCTGATCGCCGGATCTTTCAACCCGCAAATCGCACGCATCCAGCTCCCCGACAAGAAGTTCGCAGCAGGTATAGCTGGAGCCGTAGAACTCGATCCTTCAGCCCGCGAAATTAAGTACTTCAACCAAGAAAATGGGCGAGTATTCGTTCACCCATCGTCTACACTCTTCGCAAGCCAGACCTTCCCCCACAACGCTTCTTTCATTGCGTACTTCAACAAGATGGCTACAAGTAAAGTCTTCATTAGGGACATCACGCCGTTTAACGCATACAGTCTGCTGTTGTTTGCTGGAGAGATCAAGGTTGATACGCTGGGCAGGGGCTTGGTGGTTGATGAGTGGATTAGGCTGAGGGGTTGGGCAAGGATTGGTGTGTTGGTTAGTCGGTTGAGGGGTATGTTGGATGGTGTGCTGGAGAGCATGGTGAAGGAACCAGGGATGGGCGTTAGTGATAGGCAGAGTGAGGTTATTGATGTTGTTAGACGCATGGTTGAGAGGGATGGATTGGACGCTTAGACGCTTACTACGTTACTAGACGGGACTGTTAGATCAGAGTGTACGGTTCGCAATACACTAGCGGTATAAATTAGTTAACCAAGTACTCTGGTACTAGCTCGGCTGCAAAATAGGCTGTAGGGCTTGTTGGGTGCTCCTTCC